TTTTCTTTTCAAAATTAGAAATAAATCCTAAATTAATTATTAAAACTAATATTATCCTATCAAATTAAATTAATTAAACTCTAAAAATAATTACCATAACTAATTAAATACCAAATAAAAGAAAGCTAACAAAATTCGAGATTTTAAAATTAAAATGCAAAAATGAACTATTTTTTGTGATTTTTCCATTTTTATAAAACACTAAATTACTAATTATTTCAAACATGCAAAAAATTAAATCCTAAATGCAAATGCAACATATTTTGTATTTTTCATTAATTAACAAACGAAATGCACAGATAAAAATGCAAATAATTAACAGCAAATGCCACAAAATCCACAAAATTGCAAATAATGAAACGAAATTACTTTGTTTTGAATTTATGAGAGTATTTCATATAGGGCAAAAATCACGTGCTCACACTTATGTTCAAATTCAATGCCTTGCATTTTCCATTTGAACTGAGGACAAGAGTAATAACTCATCAAATTACTTCCATTAGCAGCTATAACTCTCATTGGAGCATTCACTTTAATCACACATCCCAATTGTTTTGCAGTTTCACTTGCTACAAAATTATGGGTGCTTCCACTATATGCTAATATTACCATGATCTGCTTACCATACACTCCCTTCAATTTAATAGTAGTAGATATGATTGTCCTAGATAAAGCATTGAGGCTTATGGCCTCATTAATTATTGTCTCTTGTTGAATCTGCTATTCCACTATACCATCTTCAACAACCTCCATTTCTATTTCACATTGTTCAGTAAAGCCAGACAACACATTTAGCTGCTTGTTCTTATATTGATGACCAGGGAAATACTTCTTTCCACACTTGTAGCATTCACATCTTGCCCTTCTTGCCTCAAACAACTTGTTACCCACATTGTAGGAAGTAGACCCTCCCTCATGGGAACCAAGATGTTTTCAGTTCTGATTGACTAGTATTGTTGTTGTACTGTACTGGCTGTCTAACAGTATTTCCTTTACTCTTCTTAACTACTGCTTCTAACAATTTTTCTTTGTGCTTAGCCTTCTCCACCGCTTGACTCAAGGAAAAAGGATCAAACATCTTGACTGTGTGCCTGATTTCATCCTTGAGTCCTTCAATAAGGAATCCAAGGAAGAATTCTTCAGGAATTGTAGGGTGTTTGATCAAGACCCAAGCCTTCAAGTCTTTAAATCTTGCCAGGCAATCATTCACTGATCCTTGCTACTCAATTCTTCTCCTAAGAGATTGAGGTTACTGTTATCAGACTCTTCGAATCTCTTACTGATTTCTTCTACAAACTCAGGCCACCCCACAGTGCCTCTGCTCAAATGATAGGAAAAATACCAGGATTCATCTCTTTCGTTGAGATGAAGAACAACAACCTCCAACTTCTCGTGAGGATCAGTTATATGATTGTAGAGAAAGTATTTTTCACACTTTCGGAGCCAGGATCTGGAATCACCCTCTTCAGAATAAGGGATTTCAAACCTGTAACCATGGTTATTCCCTTGCCTTCTACCAATAGAATACTCATTCTACTCCGCAAATCTGGGTCGACTACTGGATCTTTCAATATGATTGACTTCAACTGGAGCACTACCCAATATGTCATCCTTACTCGTGAAAAAGCATGTCCATCATCACATCCAGCTTCCTTCCGACTTCATCGATCTTAGAATCATTCGTTTCCAATTTTTTATTCGTCTCTGCCATGTAATTCTGTAACTGAATGTCCAATTTCTTCACATAATCTTCATTAGACTTCGAACGAGTTTCTGGAACTATCATTGTGGCCAGGAATTGCTCTGATACCAATTGTAATGTACTTAGAATGAAAGTGAAATTCAAGGAAATGAACAAGACTTTATTGATCAACACTTCAATGATTACTAATGAACTCAGAAATGATGAATAGAGAGAGATTAGAGAGAAGAAGAAGAGATGAAGAAAAGAGAAGAGCGTAGAGAGATAAAGTAGTTGAGTATTATGTTATTTTGTAAAATGATACTCACTCCCCTAACTAATTTGTTATTTATCTAACTAACTCTAATTGAGCTAATTGAGTAATGACTTGGGCTTCTGTCTTCTAACTGAAAAGGCCCAATACGTCTCCCTTCCTGAAAGGCCCAATAAATGAAGCCCAGTAAGAATTGACCCAATTCCTTCTCATAAGTGTTGTACCTTATTTCCTTATTTGTATCGCCACTTTCCTTTTTGTCTGAACATTACAATTTATGATATACTCAGATTATTATTAAAAATAGTCAATAAGGCAATATTTCAAAATCGAAAGAGATATATGAGCGTAATAAATATGTTTTCAATTCTTTTTTTCTTTAGTGTCTTTCCTAACATGTGAAATTGAAAGAACAAGAGATTTAATTATTTAACAGAAAAATCCTTTAATTACATAATTTTAAAATGAGAATCGAAAATTGGATTCATTATAATATTTATTTATCCTTTTAGAAGATGATAATGCATCTCTTGGACTCGAATTGAGATGCATTAACATTGCTTCCTACGAGCATCGTGTCTATTAATTTCATCATAATAGCTTGTCTTGAACTTATAATAGCTAACAAAAATATCAAAACAACCACAATACGCATTATTACTAATTGAAAAATAAATTTTAGTCATTTAGCAGTTGTCGATGAATTTTGTGGTCGAATATCATTAGACAAAATTCTACATGACAAGAAAGTGACCAAGCATTTGAGGAAAAAAAATGCTAGAATCAAAGATTTAACAACAACAACAACAATAAATTCCCTCAAATGGGGACTAAGGAGGATAGTGTATATGCAGACCTTGCCCCTACATTTAAAAAGACATAGAGACTGTTTTCGATAGACCCTCGACTTAGAAAAGATAAAAGAAAGGGCATGACATGCAAACTAATCAGAAAACCAAGCAAAAATACAAAACTAACACTTGGTAGTGTAGAAAAACGAAGCAACAACAATAACAACGAATAACATAAGTGTAGAAAGACGAAAATATACGAAAAACACTAAGTGATATACTAAAGCTACTGTAACAAACAAAGACAGAGCTCAACTATCTAACCTTCTACCCTAATTCTCAACCTTCACACCCTCCTATCCATAGCCGTGTCTTGCCTAATTACCTCTCCCCAATACTTCTTCGGCTTGCCTCTACCTCTCCTCTCCTCTTCACATGCCCGAACCATCTTAGTCTCGCCTCCCACATCTTGTCCTCCACATAGGCCACGCCCACCTTGTCTCGGATAACTTCATTTTAGTTTTGTCTAACCTGGTATACCCCCACATCCATCTTGACATCCTCATTTCAATTACCTTCATCTTCTGGACATGAGAGTTCTTGACTGGCTAACTCCGCCCCATGTTAGAATAAAAAATTTAATAAACAAAAATAGGTCTTCCATAATAGTAATACCCTACAAGCAAGGATCACAAAAATATCTAGATTAACCTTTTTAGAAAATTACATAAGATTTAAATTGTCTATGAATATAAATGTATTATATGTGAATTTTTTCATTTTTCTCTTGTTTAGCTCACAGTTAAACCAAAAAAAATACGAGTCGTTTTTAGATGATCTTTTTGGTTTTTCTTTAAATATTTTAAATTCCATTTTTTAAAAATGTTTGGGTGTCAAAGCTCTAGAAGATTTATAGCATGTTTGGACAAGCTTCTCAAGAAGCCAAAATTATTTTTTTTTCCTTTTGAAAAGCACTTTTTTTTTCTAACTTGAGGTGTTTGGCCAAACTTATTTAGGGAAAAAAGTACTTTTGGAAAGAAGCAAAAGCAGTTTCAGAGAAGCAGAAAAAAGTAGTTTCTTTCCAGAAGCAGAAGCAGAAGCAGTTTTGGTTTTTCTTCTTACCTAAAATACCCTTAATAAAATATAGTATATACCAAAATAACCCTTAAACCTAATACTTAGGATATTAATTTATAAATATTTCTTTTTATTTTTAGGAAAACTTTCTAATATATATTAATTTTAGGGGTGAATGCTTTTATATTTGTTGAAGGAATTTTAATATATTTAACTTATATTAAAAGAATTAAGTACTTTTTAATTTTATTTTCATATTTTACTTAAATAAAATGAATTTTTTAATTATTTCATGTAATAACAAAATTTTTAGATTATTTATTTACTTATAATATTAATTATTAAGTACATCTATTCATGTCCTTATTCATAATTTGACACTTAAAATCACTTTCTAAAAAGTTTGGCCAAATACAAATTATTTCTCAAAAGTGCTTTTCAGACTGATTAGCCAAACACAAACTGCTTCTTTCCAAAAGTATTTTTTTCAGAAGTACTTTGAAAAAAATACTTCTCAAAATAAGCTGAGCTCGGCTAAACAGGCTATTATTCTATTCTATTGCAGGAAGGAAATGTGCTTTTGGGATAATTACAAATATACCATTGTATCCCAAATCCACATAAGAAAACCCTCACAGCCGAAATCAGAAACCCTAGTTTTCACAAATTGGGAAAAATCGGAAGAGAGAAAAGGGGCGGTGGTGCTGGAGAAGAAAGCAGGAGAGTTTTTTTTTTCTTTGTGAAGCATGGCGGAGCATTTGGCTTCTATATTCGGCACGGAGAAAGATAGAGTGAATTGCCCTTTCTACTTTAAGATCGGTGCGTGTCGGCATGGTGACCGCTGCTCGAGGCTTCACACAAAGCCTAGCATCAGCCCTACCTTAGTGCTGTCTAATATGTACCAGCGCCCTGATATGATTACCCCTGGTGTTGACCCACAAGGCCAGCCCCTTGACCCTCGCCAGATCCAGCGCCACTTCGAGGTATATCGCTCTCTCTATTTGTATCTCTGTGTGTGTGCGCGACACAGTGTCTTACTGGTTGTGTATGTATGGATGCATAATTATTTGTATGTATGTGTGTGTGTATATATATATGTGTGTGTGTGTGTGAGGGAGAGAGAGAGAGATGAGTTGAGTTGAGTTGAGCTTAAATGGAGAATTGAGGATTCAAATAGCGGACCCCAACTTTATTGGGACTGAGGCGTAGTGGTTGTTGTGTTGGACATCTCTCTGTGTGTGTGCGTCCACATCTTGTTATATATGGGAATCTAATGAGGTTCGAATCTGCTCATCTGCTGTCCTTGGTGGGCAGGTGGATGCGCAAAACCTGTACTTGTGAACTGTAGCAGCTGAATGCGCAAAAGCTGCCTCGGAAACCAAAATTCAAAAAAAGGAAAAAAAACATATATGTATGTGTATGATACAGTGTCTTACTGGTTTTGTACGTATTGATGCATAATTTATTGATGCATGAATTGTCTAACTGTTATCTGTCCTATTAAAAGTGTCTTATTGGCTTTTCTCCATTTTTTATTTTTATTTTGCATGACCATATAACGCTGAATATACAACATATTGTGTGGATTTGCTGTTATAACCTGTACTTTTTGATTAATAAGTAAGGTTGCTTTAGTTTTAGATTGGAAGCTTCCCCTCCCCCCCCCCCCCCCCCCCCCCGGGGGGGGGGGGGTGTTGCATGTTTGGAGGATAATGGTCCCTTAAGTTGAGAAATGTGTTCCAACTTCTCAAGATTTGACTCTAAACATAAAGAGTTGAATAATGGTGGGCATGAAATATTTGTGATCACCATTGAACATGCAGGACTTCTATGAAGATTTGTTTGAAGAGCTTAGCAAATATGGAGAGATTGAAAACCTTAACATCTGCGACAATTTAGCTGACCATATGGTATGTCCACTTTGCTGACATGAACTTCGCTATTGTGATTTGCTTTCATCTGACCACCTGATTGATCTTATTGTAGGTTGGTAACGTTTATGTCCAGTTCAGAGAGGAAGATCATGCTGCAAGTGCTCTTCAGAATCTTACTGGAAGATTTTACGCAGGCAAGTTCTACTCATTTTGGTTGTTGAGGTGTTTTTTTTATTGCGTTAGCGGTTAGTGCTGGTATGGTTTTTCAGGTGGACTTTTGTTGTTTACGTGGAAAATAATTCGAGGAAATCAGTGTGTATCCTATGTCAGATCAATATTGGTGGTTTTTGGTTATTTTTATCTCACGGTCATTCTTGAAAATGAATAATACAAAGTGCTACGCAGTTGTACTGTGTACAGATAAATTATTTTAGTAGTATCTCTACTGGACAGATACCCCAGTTGATACTCAACTTTTTATAGTTATTGCTGTTGTTCCCTCATTGCCTTCAATATCTGAAGAGATTAGAATAATACTCTTATGTTGATTGCACATAGTTATAGTAGGTTTTAGCAAGTCGTCAGACTCACATAGTGAGAAAAGATGGGGTGTGCACATATATTTCAGGCTTTAGGTCATCTATAATCCAAATGATAATATTCTTAAAAAGTATTAGAGGAATTTTAGGGTTTGGACGTTGTAATATTTGAATTTGTCAGGGAGCATGGTTTATTTCAAAGCTGATGCTATTATTTATTAAGGAAGGGAACAAATAAAATTCTTATGTTATATAATCTTTTTTTTTTGGGGGACTGCAACGTCGTACTCTATGACTGACCATCATGAAAATTGGAAATTTAGGACGTCCAATCATTGTCGACTTCTCTCCAGTGACTGATTTTCGGGAAGCCACTTGTAGGCAGTATGAGGAAAATGTATGTAACCGAGGTGGCTATTGCAACTTCATGCATCTGAAAAAGATAAGCAGGTTAGTATCTCGCCCACTCTCTCTCTCTCTCTCACACACACACACACACACGCGTATTCACAACTCTCTGTGCCTTTGACCTTGCTAGTCTTGGTATTTGGTGACTGATGCATTTGTTTTTTTGTTGAAGGGAGCTGAGAAAGCACTTATTTAAGAGCAGGCGCAGACGCAGCCACAGTAGAAGCCGAAGCCCACGTGGTCATCGCAATTATGATGAGCGTCCACCTGGAGGCCGTGGTTTTGGTAGAAGAGGAGGTGGAGGAGGTGATCACCGCTACAATGATAGAGGGAGGAGACCTAGGAGCAGAAGTCCTGGACGAAGGAGTGGACACAGCAGAAGTCCCGGGGGTAGGAGAAATAGAAGTCCAATTAGGGAAGGAAGTGAGGAGAGAAGAGCAAAGATTGAGCAATGGAACAGGGAAAGGGAAGAGGCAGGATCTGGGAGGAATCATGGCAGTAGTACGCGTAGGGAAGACAGGGATGGCAGTGCTGAGAGAAGGGCAAAGATTGAGCAATGGAATAGGGAAAAAGAAGAGGCAGAATCTGCTAAATACAATAATTTTGACACTGATAATGGCAAGAGTGATGGTGGTGATCACTATGGAGAACAGTTTGATGATGATTACCCGAAGCAGCAGTAGGTAGCAAATGGAAGTTATGGCTACTGATAGTAGTGTTACTCTGGTTAGTGGCACTGCCATTTATGTTTTTTGTTCCTTTCACCTGAATGTCTTTCAGTCATAGTGGCACATTGCAGAAGTATAGCTCACTGTCCATTTTCCACTGTGCAGGGTGGAGTACAGGTCCACTGTGCTGTGATTTTGAAAAAAGCATAACCCTTCTATTGTCTTCTTTTTACCATGTTTAAAAGGACAGGACTTTGTTTAGGAGGGATCATAGAGAGGCCTACTTAGGAACATTGCCATTTTCCCGACTCTGATGCATCAGTTGCTCGTACAGTGAAGCTTGCAATGATCAAAATCTCATGCTAATCTTCCAATGTCTTTTTTTTTCCTGTCTCCTGCTGACTACTATTTTTATAATTTAGGTAACCCCCACCAGCAGTAAAATATCACCTGTTAATTGGTAAATGACTGTTTTCCTTATCGAAATAGATAAAATGATTTTTTAACTTTAGGTCCTATGGTCAAATGGTTTTCCCTCTCCTCCTAGGTTTACTCTTCCTGAAATAAAGATGAAGAAGCATTTTATAGGATGATTGTGACTTGAAAATTTATCCCTTCTATAATTATAAGCCGATCTTAGCTTTGTTAATTGCCTACAGTATTGAGGCTTCTCTCTTTTCAGGATACAGTTAGAGTTTGTCATTCTTAGAAGATTGATCTTATGCATTCCAAGTTTTTGCAGGTTAAAAGGTTCCTGCTTTGCAGCTTACAATGGTACTTGTATACAGGTTTTCTCTGCTGCAGACGAGTCCACTGGACTTTTAACATGCTAGGGATGGTGAGAAGTGAAGGAAGAGAGTTCATGGGCCTATGAAGTTCTAGTTTCCATTTTGGGGTTTTACCATTTGTTAGGCATTACAGGTTTTTATCCTCGAAGACAATTGTGCTGTGTATAACTGTATTGTCCGTCACATGTTGGATTGAGTTCATTTCAGTGTTTGCTTGTGTTATTTTAAGTGGAATGCAGGTTTCTGTTGAACAGCTTTGTTAAAGAGAGCAGGATATTTATTTGGCAGTTGCTAGCCTGCAGTGTATACTTATTTTGCAGTTCCTTTCACTGCGTTGTTATGTCCCTATATATATCCTCTAGTCGAAATGGCTGCTGCATCTTCTCTTTTCTATTATGCATCTCTGAAGTAATTATGCATTGGTTGTGAATGTATGCTTGTAGCTTCATGACATGGAGGCACAAGCCATGAATGCATGAGTTTGTTGATTTCTAGCCCTTTCAAAATAATGGTGTGGATTGTGGAAAAAGAATTGAATGTTGGAGTTTGTTGGATCTGTATAGTAGTTTAGCAGGAAATGTAGAAAGCTTTTGGCTTTACTGAATCAGGCAAGTAACCCTATAACAAAAAATAGTTATTGTGCGACTTTCTGTCCTGTGGTAGTTCAATCTAAGAATCCCAATCTGGCAAAGTGTTAATTAGTCTTTTATTCTTTGAGTTTTGACCATTCTTGTGGAGAATGATTTGTTTTGTACGAGAGAGGTGGAATATACTCCAACTTTTTGTTTCCAATTGCTCCAAGTTGGATGGCTTACAAGTCCTGACAACAATAGAATACTCTCTTTCGTATCGAACTCAAGTTGTTAATGTGTATAATAATCTGTTTGGCCAAGCTTCAAAAATAAACTTATTTTGAGAAGTGTTTTTTTCAAAAATATTTTTCTCAAAAGTACTTTTGGTGAGAAGAAGTTTGTATTTAACTTTTAATTTGAAAAGCACTTATGAGCAACAATTAGTGTTTTGGTCAAATTTTTAAAAAGTGCTTATAAGTATATTTTTTCCAAAAGAATTTTTGGGGAGAAGTTATTTTTTTTATGTTTTTCCAAAACCACTCTTGGTTTTACTAAAAAGGATTTTTTTCCTTCTAAATGCTTGGTCAAACACATCAACTTTGGAAAAAAAAGTGCTTTTGAATTTGGAGAAGCTTGGACAAACATGCTATAAGTCAAGAGCCCGTTTGGCCATGAGATTTTTTTTTTTTTTTTTTTTTTTTTTTTTGAAAAATTTTCACTTTTTTTTAGAAATTAGTGTTTGATCATAAAATTGTTAATTTTCACTTGAAGATAAATTTTGGAATTTTTACAAAATTTGAAAATTTCAAAAAGCTGTTTTTCAAAATTTTCACTCAAATCACTTATAAAAATTAAAAAAACAACCGAAAATTATATTCATATCGAAACACAACTCTAATTTTCAAATACCATTTTCACTTGAAAAAAGATTTCACTTTTTTTCGGAATTTTACAATTCTTATGTCCGAACGCCCATTTATAAGAAGGGTATCTGGAAATTTCATCACATGAATAAACAATGTCTGCTGCCCTTCCTGACATTTATCTTTGAAAATCATGATTTTTGGTTTGATTGCTTCTTTTAAGAACCCTCAACAGACTGAAACTTTAATGCTTGTGTATTTTAAGACAGATTCTTCAACCGGGGGATGAAAGAGGATTGGAACCCAAAAACCTGTGTAAAATCGTTCGATGGTTTCATTTGAAAACTGTATACAACAAGTTCATAAGACCGAATAGGAAAGAACTAGATAAAATTGTTCTCCGCACCATTGAAATGAACTAACTCTAGAACAATTATCAAATGAAACTTGGTATGAATTAATTAGTCATGAAAAGTTAATTGCTAAATATTTCTGAAAGTTCTTTCTTTGATAAATAAGTAACACAGAAACTAATAAGTAGCTAAAAAACAGATTGGATCCTAGAACAAGCGTTCAGCTTTAAAATATTGTTTCAGCTGTAGGTCACCTATAGACAAGCAGCTTTAATCACTAAAACATCAAAGGAGCTAGAATACATTCCATTTCATGTTGCACACAGTTGTTAAGGTTCACAAGTCGTTAAAGGAGAGTAAAATAATGTCTGCCTCCTTCTATCTCCTTCCTGAAATTTACTCTTGGAAATCGTGATGTTATATTTAAGATGCTTTTTTTTTTTTTTTTATAACAATTTTGAACAAACATGTGTGACCTATAGGTGACGGGTTCGAGTAGTAGAAGCAGTCACTAATGTTTATATTAGGATAGATTGTTTACATAACACCCCTTGGGATGCGACTCTTTCCTTGACCCTAAGTGAATACGTGATGCTTTGTGCATCGGGCTACCCTAATCCTGAAAAAATCTGTGTGACCTATAGGTGACGGGTTCGGGCCGTGGAAGCAGTCACTAATACTTGCATTACGGTTGGTTGTCTACGTAACAACCCTTGGGATGCGGCTCTTTTCCTGATCCCGCGTGATGCTTTGTGCACCGTGCTGCCTTAATCCTAAACAAACCCGTGTGACCTATAGGTGACGGGTTTGAGCCGTGGAAGAAGTCACCAATACTTGCATTAGGGTTGGTTGTCTACATAACACCCCTTAGGATGCGACTATCTCCTAGACCATACGGGATATTTTGTGCACCGAGCTGCCCTAATCGTGAACAAACCGGAAATCTCATGGCTGTAATACAGAAAGACAAATTCTTCAAGGGAGGATGAAGGTGAATTGGAACCCAAAAACCTGTATAAAATTGCTCACTGGTTTCATTTGACAACTATATATGCCAGTACACAAGACTGAATATGAAATACTAATTAGATAAAGTTCTCACCAAATTGTTCCCCCGAGAAATTTTGGAAAGGAAAAAACTCAAACAATTATCAAATGAAAACTGGTATCGTTAAACAATTTACAAAAAGTTAACTGCTAAAATATATATCTGAAAGTGCTTTCATATGAAACTTCCAAGCTAACTATTACCCCTTTAAATTTTTACCACTCCAAATATAGGGAAGGAACATTCCTTTTGCTCAATAAATAGCAATTGAGATACCAATAGGGCACATTCCGTCCCACACCGCAAACACAGAAACAAATTGAAGCAATGCACTGGTATTAAGCGCGGACTTGGTTAACGGAGAAGCTTACTTACCTGGACAGGGTCAATGTGCGATCAAGAAGGCACATGGCCTAGGTTGGTGACCTCCATTGCACTTTGGAGGGGTGCCCGCCTATGGTCGGCCCAAGTGGTCAAGCCTATGTCATAATTTGTGGCAATGGGCTTGTGTTCAAACTGGTGACCCAAATTGATTTAACATTGTACATTCAAACCGGAGAATTCTGTAGTATTAATATTGTGTTTCTGTAGTTAATTCATGCGCATTAATCATCGTGTAATATCTTTGTATTCAGGCATGTAAGCTGTAAAATCTTTGTGAACATATGAAACATCACTAAATTAAATCTGTTAAACATATGAATCGATAGGATGGAACCAAATTCTCTTTTACACTTTTTTATTTATGCTACTATAAATACTCACTTCATTTGAAATTAAATGTATGGACCTAGTCTGAACCATGCCGATACGTCCACTTTCATTGAATAGAGTACCTCGACTCTTTGACTTTTACAGAACTTGTCTGATTACCACAAAATTTTATGTAGTAGTATTTGTTTTCTTTGCAGTAAGTAATGAGAAAAGGGAAAATTGCGACTGTCTTTTGCCACAGATTTCAAGATATGTGACCAAAGTACTGTCAAACTCGACTATTAATAAATTTAGCCTTTTGAGAAACAGTAATGAGTTCGAGATTAGTACGAATATTATGGTCTTTTGATAGTAAAACATCAAAAAAGTTAAGTGGTTTAGACCAACATGAAGAGGTTAATTTCATGTACGGTCATTGGACTATCTATTACTCCTATAACAATAAAGTTATAAAATAATTTTTATCATATTGAAGTAACTATATTTTATCCACATAAAATTAAAGTCACAAAAACTATTTCACATACTCATTAATATAGTGAATAAAGCGGGATTGTTACAAAATTAGGCAGCCAGATTCAATGTTTACTTTTTCTAGCTAGTATACATGGATTATACACAATTTATATATATA